CATGTTTGTGAAACAGAACAGGGTCTTCCTGGATATGACTCAAGTATTGTGAGTGTTAGCTTTCTCTTTGGCCTTTGTGATGCACACCACTTAATCCTTATTGGAGAGCTTTGTATTGTTCAGGCTTACACACATGCACTTAACTGTCCCCTCCGCCACATTGGGAATAATGCCTTCTTTCGCATAAATTTGAAACAAGACTAAGGAAGAATGAAGTGTATTCTCCAGCAAGTGGGGCCATCGGGAAAGAAATAGCAAGTTAGGCATTTCCTGTAGAGAGAGGATAGGGTTTAGAAGAATACCAAATAAATAAGGGGTAGAGTCTACCACACAGATGGATAGGCAGGAAACCAGTTTTTCATCATATAGAAGCCACTGTATTAAAATGAGAGGTGGCTTTCATTTTTACTAGTCTAGTGTTGTTTTTGCCAAGGTATAATCGAATAACATTTGCACTATTTATATGTAAAGGCAGGATATTTGCCTGTTGAATATATTTATAAAAGTTATTCCGTTATCAAGTACTATGATACTTACATGAGTATATTTAACACTGGGGTTTCACTCTTCCCTGTAGTTGGAGAGAAATTACAGTTTCTGCTCTACACATATACATACTTTTATCTCCTATATTTGTAGGCCTAAATGAAACAAACTTTGATTCTTCTTTATACAATCTAAAGGTAATTTCAGTTCCATAGAATTAGTATTTTTTGCCTATGAAGGAAATTACTTCACTTTAAAAATCTTATTTTTAATTTTTGATTAGGTCATATGAGAACATGATTCTTTTTTTTTTTAAATAAGCAATGAAATTCCTGTTTTTCCCTTATCCACCCACTTCCCATTCCCATTTCTAAAAGGTATATTCAGTTAATGTTTTTGTTTTTCCAGAGTTTACAATGCACATTTAGGCAGATAAAAATACACATTTTTATTTTCTCCTTTTTGCACAAAAGTAGCATATGATACATTTTGTACTTTGCTTTTTCTCACTTGACAGTGAAACTTGGAGATCTTTCTATGTTCGTATTTGGGGGTTCCTTTTGTTTGTTTATTTTATAGATCTTTAATTTACTGATAGTTCCATATTGGTGAATATTAGGGTTTTTCAGTCTTCTATAAACTTCGTTTGCAATAAATAACATACAATTTTGCATGTGTGCAAGTTCACTTACGGAATAAAGTCCAGAAACTTAAATTGCTGGGTAAAAGTATTATGAAGATGCAATTTTAGTAGCTTCTGCCGAAATACTCTTCATAAAGTAACATTTGGTTATACCTTTGAATTTCTATCAGTTTAATAGGGTTAAAAATGCTTTGTAATTAAATTTGACTAATGAGGTTGTGATGTTCAAATTCTATACCCTCAAGGTTCCAGTCTGCTTTCCTAGGGGCTGAATTAGAAGCTTAGGGAAAAGTGAGCCTGGGTTGTTAGTAAGGGTTCCCAAGCTCATGCGCACACACTAAGAGTCTTTACTATACCTTGATTCATTTGCACATGCCTTGATTCTTACCCCAAATGTATGATGATTTATTAAAACTGTGGGTTAAGTTATTGGCATATAATTTCACCAAAGATGATCAGAAGCACGTAATTCTTTTTGTTGTAATTATCAGTGAAAGTCTAAGCAAGGGAGTGGTGATTTGAAATGGATTTTGGTGTACAGGTAGGATTTGGGAAGAAGGAAAAACAGCTTGAGCAAAGGAGGAGGGGAGGAAAGATAGAAAAGATAATATAAAAGAGAATAGTAGAAATAAAATTGGAGCCAAATTACAGAAAGTTCTAAGCAGTATGCTAATTTAGGAAATTAAGCCATATTCTCTGCACATAGAAAATCTGTGGAAATTTGAGGGCAGAAGAGAGTAATGCTTAGGAAAGGTGACAGTTGCAGCTTTGTGTAGCGTGTCTGAAAGGGCAGAGGCTGGAAACAGGGAAACCATTTTAGGTTTGCAAGAGATGTGCCCTGAACTGGTATGGTAGCAATGGAAATGGAAAAGAAACTTCAGATGAAATAACGTAATGGAAGAATCAATACACTCGATGACTCTTCGGTGGTGTCAGGGAAAGAGGGAGCAGACAAAAAGCTGTAGAATATGGATGGCAGTAGAGAAGAAAGGACTGATGTATTAGCCTTAGGCTAGAGGAATTTAAATCTTGAACATGATGAATATTGAAGGTACCCAGAGCTTTCCCACGTGGGTTTTCATTAGCCAGCTGGAAATGCAGCTTCTGAAAAAGATCTGAGAGAAAGAAAATACATATATCTTCTTTCAGATTTCACCTCTCTGTTGGTTTCCACCTTATGAGACTATGAAGACCTAGAAATATATGAAAATCTACTTTTTCATCTTGCCTACCCATCAGATTCCCACTATTTTTATTTTTATTTTATTTTTTAATTTATTGACTTTAGAGGGAAAGAAACATCAGTTTATTGCTCCATGTACTTATGTACTCACTGGTTTCTTTTTTTTTTTAATTTATTGTATTTTTTTTTCCTTTACTGTTTATACCACACATACCCTCCCCCTTTCACTTTCACCCACTCCCCTCCCACAGTGATCACAGTGTTGCCTGTGTTCTTTGTCATTTTGCTTTACTTTTTTGCTTGGTCTTTTCAGACCCTCCAACACCGCCCAGAGTTGTCAGCCTGCTCTCTGAGTTGGTCTCTATTTTGCCTGTTAGTTCAGTTTGTTCATTAGATTCCACATAAGTGCAATCGTATAGTACTTGTTTTTCCCTGACTTATTTCACTTAGCATAATGTTCTCCAGGTTCTTCCATACTGTCACAAAGGGTAAATTTTTTTTTTTTTTAACAGCTGAGTAGTATTCCATTTTGTAAATGTACCATAGCTGTTTTATTCACTCATTTACTGACAGGCACTTGGGCTGCTTCCAAATCTTGGCTCTTGGCTATTCTATATAATGCTGCAATGAACATAGGAGTGCATATATTCTTTTGAATTCGTGTTTTGAGTTTCTTTGGATAAATTTCTAGAAGTGGAATTGCTGGATTGGGCAAGGGAAATGGGACAACATCAAACTAAAAAGTTTTTACACAGCAGAGGAAACCATCAACAAAATAAAAAGATAACCCGCTGAATGGGAGAGCATAGTCACTGATATATCAGATAATAAGGGTTTAATATCCAGTATTTATAGAACTTTCTAAAACTCAACACCAAAAAAACAGTCCAATTAAAAAATGAGTAAAGGATGTGAATAGACACTTCTCTAAAGAGAACAGGCAAGATGGCCAATAGACATGAAAAAATGCTCAACATCACTAATCATCAGAGAAATGCAGATTAAAACCATAATGAAATATCACCTCACTCCTGTCAAAAGTGGCTATCATCAATAAATCAACAAACAAGTGCTGGCGAGGATGTGAAGAAAGGAGAACCTTAGCACACTGTTGATGGGAATGCAGGTTCGTGTAGCCACTGTGGAAAGCAGGGTGGAGTTACTTCAAAACATTAAAAATCATTGGTTGACACTTGAATGTGCTGTGACCAGATATTTAACTCACAGGCTTGGTGTATCGAGATGACACACTAACCAACTGCACTAGCTGGCCAGGGTCCCACTTTTTTAAATTCTGATTTTCCTCCTCTCTAACCTTGACTACAGTGGATTTGCCCCCCCACTTTCTGATCTTTCACCTCTTAGTCTGTAACTACCACCACCACCACCACCACCAGTCAATCTGAAAGCAAAAAGTAAGAAAAACCTCTTTGTTTATTATGTATTTAAAAGTTGGGCTTTTTTCTACCCATACAATAAAATTTAAATATTGTATAGTGAGTCTATTACCTATCAGTGGAGACAAACAGAAGACTCAAGTTCAAATAAACAGAAGAATGAGTAAGAAGAAAGGTCATTAAACTTACTATTAGTTTTTGACCACGTAAAAAATCACTTCAGTAAAATTAGTGGAGATGGAAGTAATGATTTTTAATATTTGAGTTTGGGAATAGAAAGACATTCAGAGGGCACAGTGAATGTTTTAAGATCAAGATCAGATATGGGGAAAAAACAACTCAAGTTTTCTCATCCTTGGCTCTATTAACATTTGAAGTTAAATGATTTGGCGGGGGGGGGAGGGACTGGAAGGGGGCCTGTCCCATGTGTCGTTGTAGGATATCTAGCGTCATGCCTGTCCTCTATCTGCTAGATGCCAGGAGCCATTCCCCCAGTTGTGATAACCAACATCACCACCATACATTTGCCTTATGTCCCCTGGGAGAGAGTAGTAGAGTTGTACCTGGTTGTGAATTAAGGAGAAGTGGGCATGATATCTTTGGGAGACAAGGAGACTTGATAAGGAAAAATTATCCTTGATAAGGATAATGAGAATGGTCTGCATTTTCTTGATAAAGAGGGGAAATCTGTAGAACATTGTAAGGAAACAGGTTGCTTGAGACTGAAGGAGTTAAAATGCACTTCAGGAGTTTATTTTATACAAATGTCCTTTTGAAATTTGATAGAATTTTGTAAGACAAGTCAAAAAAGTTTCCTAATTTTTTTCTCTCCAAAGAAAGAGGTCTTTAATATTTCTTGGTTGTATATTAACAGTATAATACAGTTTCAGTGGAGTGGGGATTTTTTCCCATAATTTTTTGTATTCCTTGCTGATTATTAATCTAGCTATTGTAATTGTAGATAAAATACTCTTAAGTAATCCATACCTTGGTGTGTAATTGACAATCCGTTAATCTGATGGTACTGAAGGTAACTATAAAAGAAAATAACAGGACAAAATGTATATTGATCTCAAGACATTTATAGAAATTTCTGTTTTTAAAATGTATTAAGTGCTTTTCTACAATTTCTTTACTTTTTTTTTCTAATTTTTCAACATTTTTTTCTTATTTTTGTGTAATCTTGGGCCAAGTTTTATTAAACATACAAATTCTCACCTGATTTCCCAAGTACTAATAATAAAAGACATGAAATTCATAAAAATTTCTAATTTTTTCTTTTAACTTCCAGGCTGAAGAACAGTTGAGAATTGTTGAAGAACAAAGAAAGATTCATGAGGAAAGGATGAAACTAGAACAAGAGCGACAGCGTCAGCAAAAAGAAGAACAAAAAATTATCCTGGGCAAGGGGAAGTCCAGGCCCAAACTGTCCTTCTCATTAAAAACCCAGGATTAAATTGCAAACTGAACTTTTTACAAAGAAAAATGGAAAAACTTTGTATTGTAGCTTCATGTTGAAGTGGTTTTTTTGTTTTGTTTTTGTTTTTTAATTTGGAAAATCTGGAAAGTTAGCTTGTTCTAATAGGGGCTATGCTCTGCAATTCCTTTTCTTCCCCCTTACTTCCATTAAGTCAAATCCTTATCAGATCATTGTTGTCTTCTAAAAAGTGATATTTTTCACCTGTTTGGATTCTATGTTAGTGGTCTGGAAAAGAGCAGATCATTTTATAAACTACAGATGGTCTGATAAGGTTTTTACTGACCCCATAGACTTCGGAGTTATACTCTGTTTACTACATCATAATGCTGGTTTTGCTGACTTTTTGTTTTTTTATATATTTATAAAAAAAGAAAAAGTTGGTAATTGCATTGGAAGCTCCTGGGGTGTTGCTGGACCTATGTGGTATATTGTTAAATCAGTGTCCTCATGATACTGTTGCTCTTGATGTTCCTGATACAGGTAAGGAAACAGTTGGTCAGCTCTAATACAAAATACATACAATTCAGTATTGTCTCTGTTCAATTTGTTTTTATTTCATTGACAAAATCAAACCAGCATTCCCCATTGTGTAAATAAATGATTTTGCTGAATAAAGTAAGTCTTAAATTCATATGTTGAAGCAATTTTTTTTAAGTTCTGTTAAGTCTTACAGAGGGTGGTTTACTTTTTGATGGTCAACAATTTAGAAATCTTAGAACTATGCTATATATCTTCTCATTTATACTTTTAATGTAGGATTTATATGTGTATTATATACTTGTCAATTAGTATTTAATGGCTATTTTTACAAATATCTCATTTATGCTGATACAATTATAACATCAGTATTATCTTTAAGAAAGACTAAGCACCCAGAAAAAGATTTAAATTCTCAATCCTGTACCTCTGTTTTAGGATATATTATCACCAGAAATTACACTTAATAAAGACTAGAAAAATGCTTCTAAAATTTATAGAATCTTAGTGGGCCATCAGAAAGAACTTAGCTTTGTACTTTCACAAAAGGCTAAAGTAGTCGAATCATCTTCAGTATAGTTACTTGCACGTTTATTTTGGGGACATTTAAACTTACAAGTTTTTTGTTTTTGCATGTGATACGGTTGACTCTTACAGAGTAGAATCTGCCTCATTTATCTTTACATGTTTCTTTTAAGTGTATTGGTATTAAAACATTTATTAAAGAAAAGAATATGGATATAGAAATGCTACCTGAGATGCATAAACATGACATCAAAGTAGAGAAAATGTTCTCCAATATTTTTGAGACAGTTTGATCATTCTTTAAAAGTGAAAACGTAAGTTCATGAAATGACTAAATGGTAGAGTACTTAGTGTGTGCATGCTAAGAAAAATGCTGTTGCTTTAGTTTGAGCTCTTCAATAAGTCTAATTGTGGTGAGGAACAATAAAATCAGTTTACATATCTTTAAAGATAGAAATTAAAATAGGCATGAACTGTAGTGAGAACTGACTTCAGTAAACATAACTTATTACACTAAAACATTCACTTTATTTACTTAAAGAATATAGGTTGGTTACAAGTTATTTTTTAACCTCTATAGGTTAGCTCTAACAACTTCATGATTCTTACACTTGTTTTTTAATGTAACTTTTTTTGGGGGGTCAGGGGATACAAATTCCATTGTTCGTAAGTTGTGTATTCAAGTTTTGGCAAATGTTTATTTAAAATTGTTTTGCTATACAAGTGTTCTAAACATTGTATCTAAGAGTAGCCTGGACTTAAAATATTTAAAATCAGCTTATGTGTGCCTTTTAATTTTTTAAAAATTTCTTACTGCCACATATGGTGTGAAATCACAGTAAGTTGTTTAGTGACATATTGCAGTATCTGCTTGCTGTTGGAGACCCAAATCAGATATTGAAATTGTTCCTGTGCCAGGCTACAGGAAAGAGGATGTAATTGTTAATAAAATACACCCAATCTTCTGTGCTGCAACAATGTGTAGTAATTTGTTTTCTTCATTTGTTTTCACTGCTTTTGTGTACATATTTAAAAAGTTCAGATTTTCTCCCAGTCTATTAGTAGTTCAAATGTTCTCCAATTATTAAATAATGCCTTTCTTCACAATTTCATTTTTTAGGTTACTTCTAATGCATTATAGCGTCAACTGATGACTTTTTATTGCAGTATTTAAAATGTGTAGTTATTGCCAATTTTATTGTGGAGTTTGCAGAATTAAATCAGTTGTATAACTAAACCTTGAAATAAGCTTGGTGTGAGGACTCTCTAATGCTTACAAAGAGGGGAAGGAGTTTGTACTGAGAGGTTTAATGCACCAGTTTCCCTTATAAAGATATAGCAACTTAGGCCATTTCTGCTCTCAGTTAACTAATGCTGAGTCATTTACTTGTGCTAATATATGTGCATAGCTTTTTTTGTATGGCCACCAGTACCAATTTTCAGTGGCTGTGTATTTTTTCATATTACGAAGTAAAGTAAGTATAAAATCTGGCCATTTGAACTCTATCATTTCTAATGCCTCATTTTGCATTGAGGATCCTCCATTTGTCACTTTAAATTTCTTCAAAGCTTTTATTATTAACTAGAACTGTTTTCATTTCTCAATTACCTGTTCTTTATACCAGAACCATTGGACTGTTTTGTATTAATTGGCCACGAGAAATTTGGAAAGCCGAGTATCTTAACTTTTGAAGCCTGTCACTTCGTCCAGTAGTGTTATGAACACTCAAATACCAGAGTGTTACTAATTAGTGAAAGGATCTAAAAAGACCACTGAAGGTAAAAGAAATTAAGGACTTCATTCTAAAGATCTAGAATGGGTTTTGAAAGCTCAAGCAGTAGGCCCAACTTTTTCATTTGTTAACTTGCCATTCATTGTCTTGATACCTTTGCTATTACAGTACTTTGTTACTTGTGTTTTTCGTTTACTCAGTTTTTTAAATTAAATTGTCCGTAAGGTTGGAGTTGCTAGTGGTGCAGTAATCTAGATTTATGTTTACCATATACATTTTGTAGCAGATTTGTCCTTACTGGTTTTCAGAGGATTAGATCACATTGCGTGATCCAATATATTGTGTATCTGTATTAGAGTAACTGATTGGCATCTAGGAAACACTGGAAGGGGATACAGATGACCCAATATCAAAAGAGGGGGGGGGAAGGAGGGGGGAGAGAGAGAGAGAGAGAGTGTGTGTGTGTGTGTGTGTGTGTGTGTGTGTGTGAGAGAGAGAGAGAGAGAGAGAGAGAGAGATTGAACTTCATTGGAAGTTTTCTGAAAAAAAGGTTCCGTTCCTGCGTCTTCCATGGTTGATCAGAGGATGTTCCACAGTAGAATGTGTTACACGTATTTCTTGAGTGTATGTATGAAGGTAGTTAAAAAGTACAAATTCACTGACCCAGCAGTTTCACTCCTGCTCAGGCAAAGGTGTGCATGTGTGTTTAATATTGTCTCAGTATATTTTTTAAGATTAGTATATTGTTGATTAAATCTGGCTTTGTTTGCATTAGAATAAAGTGGGTTTGTACTTCATATACATTTGGATAATGACTATTCCCTTCACTTTCCAGGTTTCCACTATGGACTAGATAAGTGACAATGTAAGGAATTAAAGGAGTATATAATTGCAGCTGGTTCTAAATGCTGTTGAATATCTTACTGTAAAGTGGGTTAAAGGGGGAGCAGAAATTATTTTAAAGACCCATTTTAGGAGATCCATTATCTAATGGCTGCTGTTTGATACATTTGTTAGAGTAGCATTTAACTTTATTTAGGCAATACAGTATGTCTATATCATCAGTCCAGAAAGTGGAAATGCTGTTTAGAGAATGTAAAGTATTACAGTCCGGTGATAGAGTCAAAACTGCACAGCCTGCTATTGCATGTGTGTCTCCACCACACTACCTAATCCCATTTGGAATGATGACTGGAGTTTGGTTGGTCTTCTAAACCTGTTGATTTGCAAATAAATGAAGGTTTATGCCAGGTGCCCAAGATAGTTGGAGCTCTAACTGTACTCTCCAAATGTGCCACTTTTGCATTAATAATGTAAAAGTAATTATTAATTAAGCTAGAGATTGAAATGACTACTGTAGTGGAAAATAATGGTATTTTGGTTTCATAAGAAATACGTTGTGCGATCTATAAGGTATGAGATGTCGCTAAATTTCCCAAAGGGGAAGAGCTTTTTCTTTTGACAAAGAGCCCTGTGTATAACACTTCTACCAAATTCATAAATAAGTAGATTTAGGAAGCTTCAATGTGTTACCTGAATTTTAGAAGCTGATAGATGGGGTAGGAGTGGCAAAGTTTTAAGAAACAGTTTTATTTTCTACTTGTTTGAAAAGTCTTCCCAGTAAATTGAGCAAAATGTGATCTGCAGATTTCTAAAAACGTTTAAGTGACTTGTTTGAAACAAACTGCATGCAATGCCAGGAAACAATACAGTTTTGGTAGAGACTTAGAGCTACATTGAAAGTTCATGGCTTGAACAACATTTAATCATGCACATAAAATTTCAGAATTTTTTTCAGTAATGTTACATTTAGATAAAGCTTTTGTTTTTTGTTTTTACAGAAGTTATGTTAAAGATGTCTTTTGAAGTACATGTTAGAATTGGTAGATTACTGTGCAAGGAACATATAAGATACCTAAGTTCTAAAGATCAGCACATGACCAGGGATTCACAGGGAGAGAAATAAAGGTAGTAAGGTGGATTTGCTCTCGTTTTATAAGCTAGAATTAAACACTTGCCACCTCATTGGACATTTACCCAAACATATTTATCAATCTTTGTAATTGACAATGAAATTCCCAAATTTTTTTAAAATCTGACTTCTAGAAGCTTCTTTCTGAACTCTAGAAATTGTTTAAAATAACTTTCTGTGCTAAAGTAAAATTTCAGTTATATGCTAGTAAATTACATATTTTCCAAGCCAACAATTTAATTGTAAAATGAAGTCGAAATACAAAGAAATATCAAACTGATGTGGTTCGTTCTTTTTGGATTGGCATGCTTAAAAATTCTTTGTCTTCTGTACATGGTAAAAACATTTGTGGGGGGGCTGGCATGATATATGGTTTGACATGTTGCTTTTGAAGTTACTCAACAGTGGAACATCAGCAACCTGAAGTTGCCACTCCTGGTGATTTTCACATAGTCTACAGCTAATTATTCCATTTTTACTGAAAGTAGATTGATACATATTCACACTCTAAAGCTATACACTAGAAATCTTTTGTGTAGGATTTTATTTTTTGGTCAAATACAGATAGGGAGCAATCTTTACTTGTGCATTTACATTTTTCCCAAGGTAAAATGCTGTGGATGTGAAAATTATCTGATTTACTAAAAATGGAAGTCTGCTTATTTTCAGAAACTGCAAATTTCCTTTATTTCCTCTAGTTTACTAGAAGAGAGGATGTAGGAGCTAAGAGGTCACAACTTGAACTTCACTATGTAAGTTTGATAGTGATATACTCCATTCTTTTAAAAGATCTTTAAACTAGATTTATAATAAATTTTAAATGAATTCCTTAAATGTTTTTAGCTTGTTAAAGACTTTTTTAACCCTTGTGATATGAGTAATACTGCCTGTTCCTTCCTGGTTTTCCAGTCCGGGAATCTGCTGATGACTTGGAATCGGTTTTACTGCCTTCGAGGTTGGTTTTTTTTTTTTTTTTTTTTAAGTATTTCTTACAAGTTGGAGGCTTAAAATTTGCAGCTGAGGAATATAAAGTTTTCTCCCATAAAGATCAACTAGGAATAATACAAATGTATTCACAACCTCGCGTATCCTAAATGTTTTTTGATCTTACACTAAATGTACGTTAATTTATGATTCAAAAAATGAATACTTAATACACCATAAAATCTTCAGAATTACAAACAGTGAAAAAAAATAGTATCTAAACGAGGTAATTTCTTTTAAATTTAGCTTAGCAAATAATTTGGCTAAAAAAATAAAATTGTAGGAACACTGCCCGATTCTTTACGTCTGAATCATTAAATCCTGGAGTAGACCAGGTTTGGAGTTTTTTAAAGTATATTGTGGATATACGGCATACTTATTTTTTTTTCCAGACTGAGTTGTACATTTTTTCAGTCTGAATTGTGCCTTATTTCAGCAGTGTTCTGCTCTTGGTCACTGAAGAGTTTCCTTTGGACTTTATCTGGGTGATTAGATTGGGGGAGGGGAATGGGAGACGAGTCCGGGTGGGTAGTCCATGCGCTCTAGCACGCTGAGATGTCGAGCTGGCCGCCAGTGGGCGCCGTGGGTCCGTGGAAGCAGTCGACAAGGTGGCGCTCCTCCAAGTCGTTCTTTGGAGAGCACTTCGTCAAGAACCCAAAAGAAGAAATTCTACTACCTCTCTGTGTGCTATTTGATAGCGTCACCCCTAACTTCCTGGTCACCTTGGGGAAGGATGAGTGTGTCCCAGAGGCTAACTAAGGATAAGGTCCCGCGGTAGTCTTGGGCATGCTGGTGGCACTTGAAAGAAGTTCTGTCTTCGTGCTAAGCAAGGCACGAAGGATGAGAGGCCGGACGTCAGCACGCCCCAGTACTTCTGCCCTCATTCCCGGGAGTCATTTTACATCTCCCGGCCCCGTTGACGTCTGGTAGCGAAATCAGGTCTCAAACGCCTCACTTAGAGACCTGGTTGGGGCAGCGAAGGGGATGTACGGGCTGTGGGTCTGACTATGCCGAGGGGACATATCATTTAAATAAGACGCACCGGAAAACGCACCGCCTTTTACTCAGCAGGGAAAGTTTGGCCCTCAACGTTGTCCTTCTTTCAAAGTTAGGACACTTGCAGAGCAATAAAGTCGCGTTCTGAGAGCAGAGATAGGTGGCACTGTGATGTCCCCTCTCCCGCTCGGCGTTCCTTTTCAGCTTCTCCGTCCCGCCACGCAGGGGCCTAGCGTCGCACACACAGGCCCCTCTGCTCCGCAGGCTC